ATATTAAAGGCTGCAGCCTTTGATCCCTCAAGTCCTCCTCAGTTTCAGTGAGAAAGGTTGTAACATCTTCATAATGTAGGTTTGTTGATGAGCCTCCCTCCAACTCTGAAGCTAGATTCTTCTACAACTTCTTGAATGATTGATTCTGCATACAGATTGAACAGATACAGGGAAAGCATACAGCCCTGACACACACCTTTCCTGATTTTTACATCGGGCAGCATTGCCTTGCTCTGTTCGTACCACAGCTTCTTGGTCTAGGTCTAAGTTTCACAAGAGCACAGTTACGTGTTCTAGGATTTCCATCCTTTTCAATGTCAGCCATAATTTGTTATGATCCACACAGGGAGAGAATCTGGCTGACCTTATGTGACAGAATCCAGAAATCACAGGCTTAGTATGAATGTGGCAAACAAGCAAAGTACAATTCTTCTTTGGTTCACCACTGCTACAGAAAAGAAAATAATGGAGAGTCCTAAACAAAGAGTCAGACAACTGGCTGTCTGGAGAATATTCTGGAGACTGCTCCTTGGTAGTTCCATGGAGAGGCCATCTGCTCTTTTAACTGAGATAAAATCGACCATTTTAAAGTGTATAATTCCATAGTACTTTGTGTATTTACCATGTTATGCAATTGTCACCCTATCTAATTCCACATCATTCTCATTATCTTAAAAAAGCAGCCCCATATCCATAAAAAAGCTGGTTCCCATGCCTCTTTGTTCCAGTTACTAATCTGCTTCCTCCTTGACATTCACCAGTCTGTCTATGGGTTTGCCTGTGGTAGATATTGCTTATATAGGAAGTCTCTTAACTTATGACCCGTTCCATTCTTATGACTATCACACTGCAAGCTGCTTCTGGTCTAAGTTGAATACCTTAACACCCTCCTCCACATTTTATCATTATTGCCTTCTACTATTACTATCTTTATAAATCAATCTTTGTAGAGGTTGAAAATAATTATATCTGAGAATGTTATTATCAGCAAATTATACATTGCAACATGGTCTGAAAAATGTACCACTGATGGTAACAGTAGAGACTCTGGTGGGTAGGGAGCCGCACTGCCAATCCAAAGGCAGGTGGTGTGAATCTACCAGCAGCTCTGGGAGAGAATCACTGACAACACACTCCTATGCCCTTTACAACCTCTGAAAACCCACTGGAGGGTCAGCTACAAGCTGGTTCCAACTCAGCAGAAATGAGCTGAACTGAATTTAGTGATAAGATGTACTCAAAAACCAAGCAAAATGGACAGCGAAGAGAGCGTGGTTTGTCAGAACTCAAGCACATCCCAAGTTGGGGGTCTACCTCCAAATGGAATCAAATAATGTGACCTTTTATATGTAGTTTGTTTTCCTCATTTAGCGTATTTCAAGGCTGAGCTATGCTGTAGAATATATCAGAATATCACCCCTTTTTATAGCTGAATAATATTCCATCTCCCGTTCCTGAATACAGAACAGTTGTCTGCATACTACTAGCAGAGAAAAAAAAGCAAGAGCTGTCCTCAACACTGAACAGAAGGGGTGGAGTTGACAATATATTCATGAAGGTCTTTACAGTTTTAATTTTGATGGTCCTAGACCAAACTGTGATTGCAAGTTAAAAATCAAGCTCTGTGAATAACTTAGCAATAGGGATTATCTCACTTTTAAACAGGAGACAACTGCATGACTACCTCAGCATCAGGCTGCACAATAAGCCTTTATTTGCAAAGCCAGAGCAATACTGGCCCCGGTTCAGAAAGGAGATTGGCGGGAACAGGCAGGAAAAGAAACAAACCCTTCTGAATGAGACTGTTCCTGCTTGAGATCCTGTTAAAATTACTAGGTGACTTTAGAGACTTATATGAAGCTGAAAAGAAACACTGTTTACCCCCAGGACTGACACATTCAGCAATAATTAAAATCTCTGCAAGGCAGAATGGGCTTATCCTGTTCATCAGTTCTCACGGGAAAGGCCAATGGGCCGAGCCCCACAGCTCCACTGAGCAGACTCAGGGTGCAACCTGCATCCGTGAGATAAGTGCTCCGAGTGTTGAAAAGACCAGTGTTGAGGTGTTTAGTATGGTTTCACTAAGTCAACAGGAAGATGATAAAAGCAGCCAAGGTCTGTGAAGACACAGCAGTACCATGACCAAGTATGACACCTGCTGGCTGACCCAGGAGAGAAAGAAGTATCTTCAGACCTCAAATATTCAAATCATTGGTAAAAAAGAAAATAAAGCTAAGAAGTCATTTTTAACTCTCAAATGATCTCCCTTCCCTTCTCAATTTTCACAGGGTGCTGGGGAGGGTTATGAGGCATTAGAACAAAGTCAATAAACTGGTCCTACCTTCTTGCAGGGCAATTAAGCTTTGTTACCAGAAGAACCCATGTTCTCTTTAATTCAGTCCTTCTACTGCTATGTTTATTTTGGTGGTGTCACAAGACATGTACAAACATGACTGTCAAGAAATTGCTTATCATGGCATGAAATTGGAAATAATATTAACATTTTAAAAATATAACAATATTTGTTAAATTAACTTAGTTACATTTTTAACTAGCAATTACTAAAAAAGAACGAGATCTAGATTTTAAAATATTGCTAGGGAAAGAGGTATATACATGATATTATTATAAGACTTCCAATCTGGGCTCTACCACTACACCACTATATAACTATCCATGTTCCTCCAGTGTTCATAGGGTTTTCAAACGGCTATTATTTAAGACAGATGGCCAATTCTGCTTCCTCGTCTGTCTTAATCTTGAAGCTCTACTAAACCCAGTCCACCCTGGCTAACCCTTACAGCATTTGACACACCAGTGGAATAACTTTCAGTATCACGTTAACCCACAAGTTATCTTAGTACAGCAAACAGACAAGTGCTGTACCAATTATAAGACTAGTTTCTGTAAAAATTTGGCTTAAAAGTAGAAAGAAAGCTTCCTTCTCCCCAAAAGAAACCAAATTCTGAAACAAGGTCACCCCTGAGGGCACACAACCATAGCAGAACATTCACTTGCTACCTAGTTCCATCTGCCCTGAAAAGGACAAAAAAAAAACCCCAACCCTATTTTTTTTTAATTTATTTAGGAGGGACAGTTCAGAGAGCCAGTTGGAGCTCTTAGGAAGTGAATACTATGGTATTTTCAATAGTAAAGATCTCCCTGGGTCACACACACCCCCAGTATGGGAAAGCCTGAGCCCTCACTAGCCAGCCCTTCTCACCACCCTTCTCCCACACACCTTCAGCCTATTCTGATTTCTGCTCAGCACACTGGCCAGTTACCCACACAGGTAATTTCAAGCCTTTACACTCTTTCAAATTGCCCTCCTCACTCCTGTCCCCTTCCACTCAACACTTTTTGTCACAAGAACAAAAAGGAGCGCTGGGGGAAGCCATCAAGTGGGAACACCATCACCTTCAGGAACCTCCTCCTGCTTTCCTTCAAACACACACTCACACTGGCACCAGTCCCACTGTCCCTTTACAACCCCACCCACACTTTTAAAAAAGTATTTTTAATTTTTATTACTTTTAATGAAAATGTACAGAGATTTTGGATTTCCATTCATTCATTGTTGCACACACCTGCATTTCTTAATCTAGCCTCTGCATACATTCTTCCTTCCGTCTAGATTAAGATGAAACCCAAGATCCTCAATATATCCCACCTATACACCAAGACACATTCTTGCACGTTTCCACCACATTATGTCCTTGTCAGGTAGAGCATTGTACTACGCTAGGCAAATCCTTCCAATGTCTTCTCCTAAGTGGTTAGGAACAAACAACCCTAGACTATCCTTCAAGATATCCTACTAGGAAATCCTTGACTAAGCTTCACCCCATTGCCACTGAGTCGACTGTGACTCAGAGGGAGCCTCCACTGGCTTCCGAGGCTGTGAATCTTAATGAGAGGTGCTTAGTTTGAAGGTGCTAGCGGATCTGAACCTCTAGAGATGCAGAACTTTTGGGTAGAGGCATTCTTCTAAAGTCTAGACTTGTGGTTTCAAACAACAGGGATTTGTGTCCCCTCAGACCTGTAACAATGTCTGGAATCATGTTTGGTTGTTATAATTAAGTGGACATTACTGGTGTCCAGTGGGTAGAGACCATGGATGCTACATGTCATAGAGTGTACAGGACTAATTACTAATCACTCCTAGTTACCTGGTCCCAAAAGGCAGAGCTCTGCTGAGAAAACCTGATCTAGATTAAATTCCCATTAAAGCACCTCATTCTCTGTGAAATCCTTTTTTGACCTATCCCCTTCATCAAGCTCATACCTTGTGGTCAAATCTACTATAATACCCAAAACATACTTTAATTTTAGTGTTTACCTCACAGTGTGATCACTTCTGATTTACCTGACTGTCTACTCCATTAAATTGTGGGGACCTTAAAAACAGAGATTACCTTTTTCATCTCTATATCCTTAAAATGTAAGAGAGTTCACTTACTGACACTTTCATTTTAAATAAAAATATATATTACAGTTAATAACTAATGAAGATGGGAATAAAGAGAAGTTCATATCACCTTGACTCTAACATACGCAAACCAAAAACCAAACCCCACTGCTATTAAGGTGATTCTATTTCACAGCAACCCTACCAGACAGAGCAGAACTGCCCCACTAGGTTTCAAGAGAGGAAAACGTTTAGGAGCAGACTGTGGCATATGCCTCCTGAAGAGCAGCTGGTACTTTTGAACCACCAAGCTTTCGCTGAGCAGCCCGAGGCTTGAGTGACTGTGCCCACAAGGCTCCTGTCTAACACAACATTTTTTAAAACTTGCACAAACAATGAATGCTTTCTATTAAAAGAGAAAGAGAGGGAGAGAGAGTATACAAGTAAACAAGAAAAAATAATAATAATTTTCTAATAGGCAGAGATATCACTAAAGGAAACAGAGGCAAACTCCACAAAGTAAATCTGAGAACACTGACAGGCAGTGCCAGGAATCTGACTAGAAAAGCCCCGACAGGGCCACTCTACTTACTTGAGCACAGCAATCTCCTGAACAGTTATAGCCCTTTTATCTTTGGTTCCCATATAGGAGAATATGTTTGGCTTCACTCTGATAAAACAGAAACAAAACCATCACAGGTCATATCATAAAGAAACTACAGTTCTTCTAATTTATATCTAAAAATAAACATACACAGCTCACAGAAGAATAATGAGAAATAAAGAAAAACTTTAGAAAACTTATTGAGGAAAACGTACACCTGAACAAGTCCCTTCTTAGTGTGGGACATAGGACATTAGTGGCTGTTAATCAGTAGCTAACACTGATTAGGGACTCGGCTGGCCAGTAACAAAAACCAGCGGCTACTATATTTTCTGTTGATTATATGCAACAAATCAGATTATATAAAACTATGAGAGCAAGGAAAATGTCTTGTTAGATATATAATATAAAACTCTGAAAAATTCACACCTTCCAATTTTTGGAAAGCCAGTCAACGGCGTGGCATTTTCTTTACTCTTGCTAAGTACAGGAACACTGGTGGTGTAGTCTAGTACACAAAGCATTGTACTGATAACTAAAAGGTTGTTGGCTTGGATCCTTGGGAGACAGATGGGCATTCTCCTCCCATAAAGATGGAATGCCAACAGAAGGTCCCTATGAGGCAGAATCACCTGGATAAAAATGGGTTTTGAGGGAGCTCTGGTGGCCTAGTGGCAAGACACTGCACTGCAATCCCAGAGGTATGCGGTTCAAATCCACCAGATGCTCTGCTGGAGAAGGAGGGGGCAATCTCCTCCTGTACCAGTCAGATCTGATTTGACTGTACACGTAAAAAATAATACAATAAAAATAAAGAAAAAATATCATTAAAAAATGGGTTTTGGTGGTTTATTGCTTTGGAGAAGGAACCTTGGTGGTGCCAAGGTTAAAGAGCTTGGCTGCTAATGGATGGGGTGGTGGTCTATGAGCTGGCATTGACTTTATTGATTTGTATGAAAAATGCTTTCCAAGGCTGTAACCTTAACAAAAGGGGACTGCCACATTTTCCTGGGGCAAAGGTGCTGATAGTCTTGAACCACCAACCTCTGAGTCAGCAGCCTAGTTCTTTAACCACTATCCAACCAACTCTTCTTCTGCTTTGTTCCAAAAAGCCAGAGGTTCAAACAGAGATCTGGACCATTTTGACATGAACATATAAAGAACTTAATAAACTAGTACTTTATACCCTTGACTGTTCCATTTGCACAGGAAGACACCAGGACTTCCTTCCCTGCCCATCTGTCAGAATTGCCCGCTTTCCTAGGCTTACAGACAGGCTGGCCACTGTGATCATGCTCTCCTAGGGAGTTAGCAACTAGAATAAAATAAACGGTTATTTAATTGGCTACTATTTCACTTCTTGAAGTTGAGTCTGATTTCCACTGGGAAGTAAACTTCCACAGCATACAGACTTGATGGGATATCTAGGGCTATCTCTGTTAAAAATAACCAAGAAAATGCTTCAGCACCTTGCCTCTTTAGAGACACAACTTCTGCTATATTCTTATGAGAAAATCTGACTGGCTTTCAATCCAATCCATCTCTAGAAATCAAGCACTGTCAAGTTTAGTAAAGCAGATTTCTGTAACCAAATTGAAGCATCAGCTTTAAAGGAACAAAGCTAACGCGACTTTTAGCTAGGTGTACTGGGAATGCTCAATTGCCTGTGAATTTTTTACATAAGATTTTCATCTTGAATTACTGGCAATATGCATGAGGATTAAAAGAATTATCTCCTAGGGAGCTCTGGTGGCCTAGTGGCAAGAAGCTGCACTGCAATCCCAGAGGTAAGCAGTTCAAATCTACCAGATGCTCTGCTGGAGAAGAAGGGGCAATCTCCTCCTGTACCAGTCAGATCTGATTTGACGGTACACACAAAAAAATAATAAAATAAAGAGTTATCTACTGCCTCAGAGAACATTCTCTAGAAGGTAAGCTTGCTTTTTCTGTGCTCCTGTTCTTTTTTTATTAGCATGGCAAGAAAAGAATAAACTCCAGTATTCTGATTTTCTATCAGCACAAAACCAAGTAACTCACCTTAGATATTTGGACAGCACGTTAATAGCATCCATGGTGTCCTTGTTTTCCTTGTATAATACAAAGTGGCAGTAATTTCCCCTAGATTTCGGCCAAGAATGTTTTCTTGGATCTTAAAAATAAATAAATAAATAAATAAATAAAAATAGTATGTACCCAAATGAAAATAGCTTTTCCTTATGAAATTCTACAAACTCATTTTCTGGTATAGAACCTGCTAGTGAAAAGTTGGATATAACATGAAGGTTAAATAATGGTTGCAAATGTGTGAATTCTAGGTCTTTAGCTTTGCAAGCCTGGGTACTTACTGAATACTTCTCTTTCTACATTTAAAAGCAAAAGCTGAAATGCTGTTGTGAAAAATGCCTAAAACTAAGCGGTGACCTTCTGATAGGAAGGCTACAGAGGAGACACTCAGTTCCCAGTGGTGGGACCTCACGGTAGAGGACTAGCTCTCCAGCACACAGGAAGTTCAAAGGGAAACAGCAGTGACATCACAAACTACAATCCTTGTCGTAGGTCCAGTTAGGCATTCAGAACAAGGCTTGTGAAGAACTGCGGCAGTGACACCTGTCGATTGTTCAAAGGCCACTTATTCATGACAGCTTAGCTAAAACAGAATTACAAAACGCCTCTCTGACAGGAGAGCAGCTGGTAGTTAAGACTTGATTATCATTCCCGAGAAAAAAGAAACTTTAAAAATTGAGCTCAGTTCTTTCGAGCTAGTGTTACCTCAAATTGTTCATCTCCTTTGGAAACTGAATAGACATTTCATGACCTTAGAGAAGTCGCTCTGAACAACACTCCTAATTAAACAATTCTATTATACCATCACCTAGAAATGTGTATAAAAACAAAGATTTGGCTTTCAGCTTCCCAAACAATGTCTTGAAAAATCCACTTTGGGAAAAATTATGTTGGCTACAAACAACTGCACGCACTCCATAGATCAGGTACAATGACAGTTACGAGGCTCGTGAGACCATCAAATATCCAGACTGTCGACTGTGGCCGCTTTTTTTTTTTTTTAAAATTTAGGTTGTTTATTTTTCATTTCAATGAACATCTACAGAGATTTTGGCATTCCATTCATTCATTGTTGTGTGGCCACTTTTTGAATGACTTGTCTAATTCACTCGACTGCTGTAACTACATGAAAGAAAACAGGGGAAAAAAATACTTCATGTACTTCCTAGAAAGAATGTTCTTTTAAAAACGCTCCTTCATCTCTGTCCTTAAACAATACTTTATCATAAATTCATGATATCTTCTTTTCAGACTTAGACAGTCCTCATACCAAAGCTACACGTACTTTCTCCAGACAAAGGCATGATTTGGTAGGTTAGTGGATTAAGCTAAATGTAAAGAACGATGGAGTCAACGTGCCATCTAGGAAAACTCTCACTGCAAATGTATGCCTAGCAAATTTCTTTTCCTTCTGATAACTATGAATGTGGTCTTTTGCCTTCGACAAAAAAGTACTACAAGCTCTTGGTGTGAATTCCTCACAACTCACCCTCAGGAGACTGTGCATATGAATACCAGGTTCTCCTTCCTTCCTGCTCACTATGAACTGAGCGAAACTGTCTCCACTTATCACTTGCAACAAAATCATTGGCATTTCATTTTAACTACATGAAACGCCAACCGCTCTTACCTGTTGCAGTTCTGACCTCTGTCCAAATGCACAGCGTTTAAAGAGCACAAGAGAGCAGTGTTTAATTTTTTAAGAATTAAATAGCATATTAAAGTGCTTTAGAGGTGAACATGCAAATGGTCGCATGGTAAGTTTATGCTGAGGACGTTTGTCGCACCTGGAAGTCATGTGATGGGTTAACAGCCATTTAGACATTTAACAATGGAATGTTAACAGGGCAAACAGTGAACATGTCAAAAACTCACCTACAGGTACAAGCCTCTCTGTTGCAATCCCTTCACAAAGAGCTTTTAGTTCAATCTCAAACCTGCTGTCTGTACCCTTGGTCTGTACACAGCACAAGGCTTAAGACAGAATACAAAGCACTTACTCATCTAGAGATGTACCTTTGTAGTTATGGGTGAATATACACAGCTATTTTGTCACAAATGTTATTTGTAATTCTCCTTGATGGTGAGACTATCTTATTTTGCATTATCTTTTTTTTTTCGTTGCAGCTTGATACTTCTTTATTCTGGTAATGGTGCTCTGCATTCTCTTTTTCTGTGTTGCATGAATTTTCTCTTTGAGAATAATAGTATCTCATTTGAAAAATTCTGAACAGTTAATACAGAAAATATTGTTTTAAGATGGAAAATTCTTGTGAAGACATTTATCTTTTGAAGGCAATGTTCTGAACCTTGGGTCATTTTTTTAACACATCATCCGTAAGGAAAAGTCATTTTTGTGATAATGGGGAGGGGGAGACTGAACATGGATGAGGCATTAGCTATTACAAAACTACTGTTACTTTTGTTGGACATTACATAGGTTTGATGTTTTGTATCTCATCTGTTACATACTGAAATGTTTATAAGTGCAACGATGTGATGTGTAGAATTTGCTTTAAAACACTGTAGTAAGAAAGAAAAAAGGAGAGGAGGGATCAAATAAAATCAACAGAAAGTCATTAAAAATGAAGTTGGTACATGGGTACAGAGGTCTTTAAAATGCTATGTATCCCGTCTGCATGCAGGTTTTAAAATGTCCATAAGAAAAATTTAAAATACACTGTGATAAAAATTGAAGTGTAGGGGGAGCGCTGGTGGCCTAGTGACAAGGAGCTGCAACTGCAATCCCAGAGGCGCACAGTTCGAATCCACCAGATGCTCTCTGCCAGGGAAGGAGGGACAATCTTCTCCTGTACCAGTCAGATCTGATTTGACGGTACACGCACACAAAAATAATAAAATTTTAAAAAAAAAACTTTAAAAAAAAATTGAAGTGTAACACCATTTTCTTTTAATCCTTTAGCACACTCACCATTAACTATAAAGGCAAGAAATAAATACAGCTCCAAGTCTGAAAAACGAAATGCTATTCCTTAAACCATGAGAGCAGAGTTATGCGTTCTGGTGCACAGCATGCATCCTGTATCCACATACCCAAGCACTGAGCACGCAGGCCACAATCACCTCCACGAAAAACACATACAGGCACCACGTTTCTACAAGAACTCAATACACAGAAAAGCAAGTGTTGATTACTTGGGAATATTTTGAATGAAAAAAAAAATCACTGGGTCTCAATTTATTTTGGGAGATTTAGTTGATTGTATAAAACTCCAATTTCTAATAATACTAAACAGCCTATAGTCAACTTTACAACTCAAAAGTGAATTCAAGCTACTCTTTAGACATTTCTTTTAGACATTCTCATCTACAATAAGAATGCAAAAAAATTCTCACGCTTGGCTAATAATATACATTAAGCTCACAGTTCTTCTATCTGAAAAGTCAAACTTTACTAGGGCCCCTCCCTTCACCATGCTGCCTTTCCTTATCTTTCTCTTCACGGTTTATGTGAAAAACTGAGTCTACTCTGACTCATGTGTGTCAAGGGAGAATTGTTCTCCACAAGGTTTCAACAGCTGGTTTTTCAGAAGTAGGTAGATAAGACAGATTGCCTCTGGGTGGACACAAACCTCTAACCTTTTGGCTAGCAGCTGAATGCATTAACTGTTTGTACCACTCAGAGATTCTGTATTTGAAAATGAAGCCTGTATTTACTACCTGCACATCTCACCTATATTGCATAAATTGGTTTCCAACCTCAACATTTCATTCAAACTGCTCTCTCAAAGAAAAGACATCAACAATTTTCATGTGCTAATGTACAAAGATGATGTTAATCATAGAACAGAGTTCAGGTCTTTTGTGCTAAGCTTACTCTGAGTCATATTCGACGTGACAACACTTAACCACTGCTAAATGAGACCAGTGCTGTTACATCTGGAGGAACATTCTTTCACTTTGCACATTACTCTTTGTCAATGTGCTGTATGAGGTAACTTGGGTTCACTATGAAGCTGAACCTTGTGCCATGGGAATATCAAATACCAGAATGGTTTCCCACTGTGGACAGTGTTTAGTCGAATTCCCAGTTATTAAACAGGTTGGGAAACAGGAGTGGCATCCACTTTCTAAACCACATGCCTCTGGAAACTCTATGAACTTGGAGAAACAATGATAGCTATTCAAAGGCATTAGGTCTTTTGTTCGTAGAATCACTATGAGTCAACTGCAACTTGACGGCAATCATCAACAACAACAACAAATTGAGGGACCAGGTAGCTGGTCACTATGAGCTGGAACTGAAAGAATCAGTTTTTTGTAAAAAGTTTGACTTCTCGTCCTGCTGAACCTCTGCAGCATTTATCACAGTGGACCACACAGGCTACTGGAAGCCTCTTTCCCCAGGGACACCTGCCTTGTCCATGGAGTCCCTGGTGTCTTCCTCCTGAGTCTCAGGAGATCGATCCCAAGACCCAGGTGCACCTCCTGGGAGCCGTTCATTTCAGGATCAGGAAGAATTACAATACATCACATGGAGAAATTTTTACTTGAATCTTTGGAAAGATTTTAAAGGCACGTTGAATGTATAGTACCTCAAACAGTATATTAACTTGAGGGGAGAAATAGCTCACTTCACGTGCCTATAAAAATTTTAAAGAAACTGTTTAATGAAAAAACAACAACAACAACAAAACCCAGAAAATGGGCCATATGGCAGGAAGCGGTTTGGCTATTAAGCACCAAAGTTGCAGATGAAGGCATATATTAGAAGTCTAGTACCCCTCATCTAAGTGAGGAGAAAGGGTGGGTACATTAAGTGTCTACCTTGGCCTGAAAATGCTATTAATTCTCCTTCCTGCAGGTCACAAAACTAGTGTTCTCCCAAAGTAATGAGCATATCCAAGAAGCCCTCAATTAAAGAAATAGTTTTTGCCTTTTCCAATCTGCTTCCTCATGATCGCACTAAACAGAACAAAGCTGTCTTTCTGTTATCCCTGGTGGCTGGCCACATGACACTAATCATGGTAGGTTACCTCTCTATAAAGAACACCTCTTCAACTTCCTTTTCCAAGCTACACTCGAGAATTAAGGGGAACATGATAAGGTTTGTATGTAACAAAACAAATTTCCTCCTAGACACCTAGAAGAGTTACTAGCTATATTCTAGTCTTGGGGGGACGGAGAAAAATAGTCCTTTTCTACTGGGCTTCATTCTCTCAAGGGAACCTGGCTGCGGAAGCTGCTAAGCTAATTTTTCATACATGACCTAGAAATTAAAGAAACATCTATTACCCCAGTCATTAGCTTCTGGATAGAGAAGTGATTAACAGCTCCTGCCCCAAGCAGTTCTGTAGCACGTCATCTCACTCTTCCCAGCTGCTCGAGGGCTCTCCCTCTATTACCATCATTCAGACGTGCCAGTTTGACTAGATTCTTTTCACAGGCATAACTAAACCTTTTCTCATTTCTCTAGAACACACAGTTACAAACAATTAAAGCTTCATGCATTCTCAGAATGATCTTTTAATTTAACCTACAAGAAGACTGACAAAGTACTAATGGTTCAAACCATTTTTTGGTTAGACAGTCTCAATTTTGTTCTAACAAATATATCCTGAGGCAACTGAGTCTTCATTGGTAGGGAAGGAAGGTGAGGATATTTTTTTCCTACTATAATTTTTATTATGATTTTCTCTGCTGATCTGACAAGTAAAAGGAAAAACTGCCTAATTTTCCTTAAGGTTATAAGCAAAGAGACATTTTCATGGCTGTAGAAAACAGAATGGAATATAAATATCAAAGTGATTCAATGACAGCCCACCAGTTTCAAGCAAATGATACACAACGAGATGGACTTAGGTGAAGGGGTGGGTATGTGCCATGCCTTTTATGTGTGAGTGAAGAAGATGCTTATGAGAAGAAGCAGAAAAGATGTTGCTGGGATGGGTGGCAGGCATATGTCCGTTCATCTGAAAGCTTTCATTCCCCTATTAAGAACACAAAATGACCAACAGCCCTGCTACTTTCTATGAACTGCCACCACATCTGTTCCACTCTTCAGGGAACATATTACATCCTGAAAATATTCTCTTAGGCAGCTCTATCATTTCCATAAATCCTGACTCCTATAAAAGACTTACCGTCTCAAACCAGATGGACAGTCTCTGCTGGCAACTGAGAGGAAAATCATTTACCTTCTACGACAAAACTGATCTTCTCCTCTGAAAAGAGCAGCCCTTGACGACCAGCAAGGAGGAGTAGGGTTGGCCCCACCCCCACTTCCAGGGAAGAGCCTGGCCCGCCACGCACTTACTAGCTAAAGCCTTCTTTCCAGCTGCATGGTAGGCTACGATATACTTCTTCCCCTCTCTATCCTCTGTTTTTGTCTCTAATCCTGGAAATAGAGATTTAATAGCTTGATGGATGACGGTTCTTTTCTCTTTGGTGTCCTCTATGACCTGATAAAACAAAAATAGTGACAACATGAATGGAACAACCAATACATAGGGTACTAATACTGGTGAATTATTAAACACTACCTATCTTATTCTCTATGCAAAAAAAAAGGTAGTATCAATCTTGGAATGCTAACAGGGATGAGAAGAGAGGGAGAGGGGGGGTAAAAAGGAATAAAAAGATTAAGCCGGGTGAGGAGAATGGCAATGTACAGTGAAGATTTGATTGGAGACTCTAATTAATATTATAAAATGAAATGCTAAGGGAGCTCTGGTGGCCTAGTGGCAAAGAAGCTGCCCTGCAAACTCAAAGGTACATGGTTCGAATCCACCAGATGCTCTGCTAGAGAAGGAGGGGCAATCTTCTCCTGTGCCGGTTGGATCCGATTCAACAGTACACAACAAGAAAAAAAAAAACACAAAAAAAAACCACCCAAAAAAATCCAAAATGCCTATGAATGATTGAATGAAGTGCAGTATGCTTTGTAAACATTCACTCAAACTTAAAGAAATTAATTTTTTAAGAAACCAAAAGTTTGAGCCATCCATTTCAGGAATACAACTGGTACTTCCATAGTATTATAAATTCTAACAGACAGTATGTCAAGAAGTATGTAGCAGACCCCACAGGAAGGCACTGCACATCCTTCATGTTATCCTTTTAATATCCCTAGCGCACCACTGCTATGATATTTATTTATAGTGGGGGAAAGTGAGGCTTTGAGAAGTTAGGACTATACAGCTGGAGGGTGGCAGAGCTATGTTTGAAATCCAGGCTGTCAGACCCTCGAGCCATCAATCAGATCATGCCTTTCAAGATCCCTGATGGAAAACCTAACGAAAGCTGGGTCTTTGGTATGTCCGTAACACAACTCCTCCACACAGTCCAATGTATGTCTGCCTCATACTAAATTCTACAAGACATGTAATTAGTTTATACTGAGTCCTAGCACATTTGTTCAATTAAAAAAAGCATTAAAAAATAAAAACTTATTCAAAGGTCTCATAAAAAGTTTACAGAATCCTGCAGGGCCTCCACAAGAAAAAGACTGATAACCCAATTACAAAACAGGCAAAAGACATGGAAAGACTTCACGAAGGAAGATATATGGATGGCCAACAGATATATGAAAAAAATGCTCAAAATCACTGGCAATAAGAGAGTTGCAAATCAAAACAATGAAATACCATCTCACTCCAGTAGCAGTGGCAAAGTTTAACAGGACAGCAAGTATTAAATGTTGGAGAGGATGTGGCAAGATAGGAACTCTGATACATTGCTGGTGGGATTGTAAAATGATCCAACCATTCTGGAAGGGAGTTTGGTGTTTCCCCAAAAAGTTGAACACACAAATCCCATAAGACCCAGCTATTCCACTGCTTAGAATATATCCCAAGAAAATGAGAACTGAGGCACAAACAGAGACTTGTACACCAATGTTCATAGCAGGGTTAGTCACAATCACAAGAACATGGAAACAGCACAAATGTCCAACCACAATAGAATGGATTGAGAAATTATGGTACATTCACATGGAATACTATGCAGCATGCAGGAGCAATAATTTTGTAAATTACTACCTAACTTGGGAGGGTCTAGGGAGCATTATGTTAAACAACTCAATCCCATAAGGACAAATGCTGTATAAGACCATTACTGTAGAATGTGTATGAGGATCCAAGGGAGGGGAGGGGGTGCACAGGGCTGAATATGGGGGGACTGGAGTGGGTGGGGAGGTAGTTAATCATAAGGTCTCACAATCTGATGAGTGGAAGAAGGGGTGAGTAAAGCAAACAGGAAAGATCTGGTATGAAAAATAATGTACACAAACTTAAGTAAGTAAACCAGTTAATTAAAATTTTACTTAAATAAATAAAAACTTATTCATTCCACAGTCTTTGTGTATGTTTCATATTAAGAAATATATTGCCTCTTGACTCAACAATCATAAAAGCATATGCCAATTTTAAGTCATTTAAACTATGACTTTTCTTAAAATGGAAGAAAAAATATCCCTAAACCACCAAAAACACCTTTTCTCAAAATACCACTGCTGCCACCTATAAGCTGAAAAACACTGATATATGTTATATTGTTGTTATTAGGTGCTGTTGAGTCAGAACCATCTCACAGCTCACCCTCCAGCAGATTTTCCGAGGCTGTAAATTGCACAGGAAGAGACTGCCCATTTCTCCTGTGGAGCAGCTGGTAGATTCAAATCACGTGCCGTGGGTTGGCAGCACCACTCCTTACCACTCTGTTGTTGTTGTCTACCACAGAGTGGGAACCCACTCACAGCTGACTCTCAGCCAGGTTTTCAGAGGTAGTAATCACACGGGAGGAGATTGCCCATCCTTCTTCCACAAAGTGGCCTTGAACTGCATGACTTTGGGATTGCAGAGCAGTTTCTTGCCACCAGGCTACCAGAGCTCCCTAAGTCACCATAAAGCCCACACCCAATAAGAAAGATCAAGAAAGTTAACAGGCATCCTGGCAGCTCAATGGTTAAAGCAGTCAGCTGCTAACTGAAAGGTCAGCAGTTTGAACTCAGCAGCTGTTCCAGGGGAGAAAGACGTGGCAGCCTGTTTCTATAAAGATTTACAGCTGTGGAAATGCTACGGGGCAGTTCTACTCTATCCCGTTGGGCTGCAATGAGATGGAATCAACTTGGAGGGAGCAGAAAGAGACTGGAGGCAAATAATGAATTCTGAAAAGTTGCAGTCAACTCATTCACTAGAAGGGACGGAATATAGACTTTTCAGACAATCAAAAATCAAGTGCTTTACATTACCGTACAAAACGGAATTAACATTGCTACAGCTACTCCGCCTAGCACTGCTCTCATCCACCACTGCAACTACTCGCCACAGGTGACAAATGAGCACTTAAACTGTGACCTAATTCAGATGCATCACTATATAATGTAACACTGGATGTCAAAGACTTTGTGGGAGGGGAAACCTCATTTTAAAAATACTGGTTACTCATCAAAACTGCGTTTTAGCTGCTTTATGGTAAATAAGATACACTATGAAAATATACTTCATCTGTTTCTTCTTCCTTTCTTTAATGTGGCTACTAGAAAATTTAAAATTATATACATGACTTGTATTATAATTCTACTGGACAGCATTAATCCAGAAGAAAACTTTCATAACTAAAAGTTTTTTTAAAGGCACTTACTATCCTGTATCTTAGGGAGCTCTGGGGGCGTAGTGGTAAGAAGCTGTGTTGCAATCACAAAGGCACATGGTTTGGCAAGCTCTGGTGGCCTAGTGGCAGGAAACTGCACTGCAATCCCAGAGGTGTGTGGTTCAAATCCACCAGATGCTCTACTGAAGAAGGAGGAACAATCGCCTCCTGTGCCTGTCAGACCCAATTTGACGGTATACACATAAAATAAATAAATAAAAATTTAAAAAAAAAAAAAAGGCACATGGTTCGAATCCACCAGCTCTTCCACAGGAGAAGGAGGGCAAACTCCTTCCGCGCAATTTACTGCTTTGAAACTCACTGGAGGGTCATCTATAGGTCGGCTCTGACTTGGTGGCACACTAACAACAACATTCTGTATCTTAGCTGGGCTCTCAAGCTGGACGCTGGCTGTTCACAGAGACACCTTGTACCTCCCTTGGCTAGGCCTTCCCTCTCCCACAGGACAAATCTGCCACCCCTCTTAGAATCAGACCACCAGCTAGCGAGCAGGAGGCTTTGCAGACGTATGACTGCTACTCTACAATTCCAAACAAAAGGCATCTTTATTAAATATTTTTTTTTTAAAAAATACATAACTTCTTTTTAACCATTGTTTATCTGAACACTGGCATTCTTTCTAGATCAAATATGGTGAGGTCATCCTTCTGTCAGACACTGTGATTTTTTAAAGTTACTTATTTGTATTCACTTTTAAAAAAAAGGTCAAAACCCTAAAAAAAAAACCCAATCCACAAAAAAAACCCTCCCTTACATAATTTTGTACTATTTACCTCAATAGCAACACTGGTTTCCTTATTTTTAAAAAGCTGGAGCTCTTCCAAGCGCTGCTTTTCTTCGGCTGTCAAAACGGTAAATACCTCTTCGGAGGGATCCTTTAAAACAACCAGGAAAACTCTCAGTGAGTCACACACAGGATCTGAGGCTGTTAAAGTTCTATCATAAAGTTCTACGATCTCTAGGAAATGTAGGCAATGCTAGCTTTACACTGAAGGTGCCTTCTGTCTTCTACCTCATCATCCACCGGAACAGACAAGTCATCCAAGTGGCTGATCCGTCCATCTTTTCCTATTTCATGAACAACAAAGTCAGAGTACCTAATGGAAAGAAAACGCAAACGTTCAGAGGACTAAAAAAAAAAAAATTCAATGCCATTGTCTTTGATTGGTAAACAAATGCTGAGCCCTACTTTGGCTAAGGCTTCATAGCAGAGCTTAACAAAAAGGCCCTCTGAGCTTTTAGGGTATTCTTCTGAAGAAATGCATATATAAAAGTTTATTGTCTATAGATCATCCATACTATTATAAATCATACAATATGTCAAGTTGTTAATGAAATCAGAATCTAGCAATTCAGAAATCAGGAGTCTACTATGTACTATGCTGATGCTTAATTTTATGTTAAATACTTTATACACATTCTTTAAAAGGCTTTCAACAGCCACAAGGTAGAATTATGATATATTTTTGGGATGAGAATTAAGTAACTACATGAATAAAGTAGCTACACTGGGATTCATACACAGGTTTACCTGGCTCCAAAGACAACCTTCTTTCTACTGTATGATGTAATATATTTAGAAAGCTGAATATTATAAAGCTAATTCAGAAGAGAACCTGAAAATACCTAAAATGTTTTCTTTTTAAAGACATTAACAGAACTCATCTTAAATATAAGTAAGGCATATCACTTGGAAATAGTTTCTATTATCACTCAAACAGTTGTTGGAAAGGGTTTTCCCTTGATAAAAATTGACCCTTTTTGTGTTGAAGATATTGAAACATTCAAATCCATTTGCTCAGTCAGCTCTCCTTTGTTCTATTCCACTGAGACCATCAAGAGAAATAACCTCAGAAGACAGAAAGCTAAATGGAAGCCTCTATTACTGATTTCTTTTCTAAAGAAAAGAATTCATATAGCTAATACAAACCTATGCATAAATTCTACATACCTCTCTTTCAAGATGCCTGAGAAACCTTGATGGGAACTGACAAACTTGGTGATGCCTACATCAAGTTCTGTGAGTCCATGCTTCATCATGTCTGCAAAGCTTTCCACTTCCTCCTCTTCCTCAGCTTCCTCGGAAAGGCCATCGTCCTCCTCTTCCTCATCCTCCAGCAGAGCGTCAGAATTGTCCTTACCATCCCCCGCACTTACAGCTTCCGGTGCCGCAGGCACGCTCTCAGCGCTGGGCACGGAGTCACCTTCTAGCCCGTCCTGACCTTTGCGAAGGCAGCATTCTGAGACTTTCTGCCTTTTTACCTCCTCTCCAGGAGCCAGACTGTCATTATCTTCCACAGCAAGGGACCCACGTTTCAGCGACACACCAGTCATTCCTGTGGTTTCCATCCTTAAGGCTCCAAGAAAACATTTATGAGAACCTTTTAGGAAAGGGAAAAAGGGAGTGAAAAATAAGAAAATAAAAAAGTTGAAGATTATAAAGAAATAGACTCTGGTGGTGGTGTCTGTGGGGAATTGTGGTTAATTCCCAAGGCAGCACCTCTCTGGCAGTTTGACTCTATCAGTGGCTCTGCAGAAAAAAAGATGGGCAATCTCCTCTTATGACTGACTGACTGATGGTCTCAGAAACACACAGGAGAGTCGGCTGAGTTTTGACACAACAGCAATGCATTTGAGTCTGATAAAGAAATTGGTTTCATAACCAACAGAGATACAGTAACTTTATTTATCACTGAGTCAATTCTAACTCAAAACCCTGTAAGAGAAGGACGGAGCTGTGAAGGTACAATCCACAGGGAATTTTGGTGCCAAATCCAAAGGCCGCACCTTTCTGCCCATTCACACCCATCAGCTGCTCTGAAGGAGAAAGATGGGCCATCACCTATGCTCTTTGCAATCTCAAAAACTCACTGGATGTTCAGCTGAGTCAGTTCCAACTTGATGGCAACGAGCTATAAAACAGAGCAGAAATGCCCTACAAGGCTTTCAGGGCTGAGTAACTATCACATTCCCCCCCCCCCCCCCCCCCGTGAAGCATCTAGTGGGTCTGAATAGCTAACCTTTCAGGAAGCAGCCAAGTGCTGTCCATAGAGCCCTAAAAATCATCTATTTAAGTAAGTGCTCCAGACACTGCCATGCAGTTTTGGTAGGACAGAAAACTGTTCAATACATGTGCATGCAATTTGACAGTACGCATCAAAGGCATCAAAAATATGTATGGCTGGCGGGGAGTAAAGAGGAAAATGTGCAACAATGAGTAAAAATCCAACTCTTCTGTAAGCTTTTGTTAAAATCACAATAAAAAAATTTTTTTTTAGTGGCCTAGTGTCAAGAAGCTGCATTGCAATCTCAGAGGTATGCTGTTTGAATCCACCAGATGCTCTACTGGAGAAGGAGGGACAATCTCCTCCCATACCAGTCAAATTCGAGTTGATGGTACACACACACACACACACACAAAATTTAAAAAAATAAATAAATTTAAATGTATGGCCTCTGACCTGAAATTTTTAGAGACTGATCTTAATAAAAGTACACGTGCATAGTGATAACTTGAGGATACTCCTTACGGAGCTTCCACATCAACTAAAAATTAAGAATAGCCATGAAATACGAATACATAAACTGTAGAATATACAGAAGTGGCATGAAAAAGAGACTGGAGAGGTGGTTACATCTTCTTGGAGAAAAACCAGATGGCTGGGGGCAGCAGTGGGAGACTTGCTATTTCACTAAAGCAATTTTTGTGTCATTCAATTTTTTTCCATGTATATGTATCATCCATCTGAAAAAATTGATTAAATAAAAGCAGTATCTAAGGAGACATACATATTTCAGTAGAGAGCAGCTTGAGAGAGCTGCAGCCTACACAGATGGTAGCAGGAATTAACACAGGCTTCTAAGACTATAAGTATTATTCCATGATTGTGATCAAATAATGATAAAGAATTCTATATTATATCATCCACTCATCCACTGCCATTGAGCTGGAACTGATTCACAGCTCTAACGGGTTTCCAAGGCTGTAATTGCATGGAAGGAGATTGCCCATTTTTTCCTCTCAAAGCTTCTAGTGGATTCCAAGTATCAGCTACAGTCATTGGAATAGTTGTGCCATTTCCTATAGACACACCCCAAGAGTTCTTTCTAGATTACATAGAGACAGGGTGGTAAGGAGCTGTGCTGCCTGCCAACTCAAAGGCATGTGGTTCAAATCCATCAGCTGCTCCACAGGAGAAAGATGGGCAATCTCCTCCCATGCAATTTGTATTTCTGAAAACAAACTGGAGGGTTGGCCGTGAGTAGGTTCTGACTTGATGGCATGTAACAACAACAGAAGTTAATTTACTAATAATCTCAGTAACCATATCCATAAAGAAAATTAATATTCCAGTTCTCCAAGAGTGGGATTAACAAGAGACTCATCTACAGAAACATCTATCGGAAAAGAACAAGAATGATGATGAACCAAATTCTAACAATCTATATTTTTATTCAATCAAATTAAAAAATGGGGAAAAAATAGAAAAAGATAGAGGTTACATGAAAAACAGTATCTCTAACCAAATATAGAAGGCAGGATAAAAAAAAAAAAGGAGAATATAGTTATTTTTACTGAAATTTCTTCCATTTACAAAGACAAATAAATTTAAAAGAAATGGGGAAAAAGGTAATTGTTAACCAAAAAAGGATACAGAAAAATATCAATAAAAATTTCTAATTAAAAACAAAAAATTAATTAGAAAGAAAAATTCATTAACAGAAGCAGAGCACAACTAGGTGAAAAAGTCAAAGTCACTGCGGTGGCATCAAAACAGATTGATATCTACCCTCCAGTGGGGACTGGAGGAAAACTCCTCAACAACCTGCGTTATGCACATGACATAACTCGGCTTGCTGAAACTGAAGAGGACCTGAGGCATTTGCTACAAAAGGTTCCAGAATGCATCCTACACTATAGATTGAAGCTCAACATCAAAAAAACAAAGATTCTCATCACTGGACCAATTGGCATCATGATAGTTGGTGAAGAGATTGCGATTGTTAACAGCTTCAGTTTGCTTGGCTCCACAATCAACACTTTTGGTACCAGCAGCCAGGAAATCAAAAGAATTGCATTGGGAAAATCTGCTGTCAAGGATCTCTCCAAAGTACTGAAGAGCAACAATGTCAGTCTAGAGACTAAGGGGCACCTAATCCAGATCATAGTTTTCCTAATTACTTGCTATGCATCAGAGAGCTGGACAATGACTAAGGATGATGGAAGAAATGCCTCTGAGTTGTGGTGCTGGAGAAGAACATTGAATGTACCATTATCTGGTAAGACAATAAACAGGTTCTTTCTAGAGAGGATGATAACAGGCTGCTCCTTGGAGACAAAAGATTTTGAAGCTTTGTCTGACATACTTTGGGCATGTAACAAGGAGGGACCAGTCCTTGAGGGACGTCATGCTTGGAAGGGTGGAAGAACAGCACAAGAGAGGAAGACCCTGGATGAGATGGATTGACTTAGTGACTGGGGTAATGGGGTAAGTATGGCAGAGATGATGAAACCGGCTCAGGATAGGACAGGCTTTAGAGCTGTCTAGGGATGCTATGAGTTGAAGCCGACCTGACAGCCTTTAACAATATATGCTACACAGATTGTCCATCTTTCTCCCAAGCCGTTGCTGGTGAACAACCAGAGAGGGCGCCAGATTGACGTGAGCAGCACAACTCTCTACAGACCACACTTACTAGAGCTCCCTAGATCACAGCTAGTTAATAACAAATGGTTCTATCTAAGGCAGGACATAGACTATAAAAAAAAATGCTGGTTTAGGAAACCCATAGCTGTTCTACTCTGTCCTAGAGGGTTGCAATCGGTCAGAATGGACTTGATGGCAACAGGTTTGGCTTTGAGGATTGGTAATCCAGGCATCAAATTGGGGCAGCCTGATCTAAAGCACGGGAGACAGACACTGGGGTGGATTCAAGGAACATTTAGAGAGTTGTAGAGGCAGGACCTGGGGATAAATGTGAAAGGAAAGAGAAGATTATCCAGGATAAGTTAGGTTTTCTGCACTGGGTACCTGAGAGAATTTCTCAGAGTGGGGCCCATAGACAGAGGAGGAGGTGGTGGATGAAGATGAGTTCATTTCTAGTCCCATCGTTAATGAGCCCCTTGGAACCTGGAGGACACCTCAGGTCATACATACCTACCTCCACAGTGGCCAAAACCCTAGAATGGCTCCTCAGTGACCAAGCAGAACCCACAACTGGCATACTGTGATGTACCAGGGGATCCTGTTAACCTTCCAGAACTCTCAACAGGCAGAAAAGTTCTGCTTATAATTGTCATATTCTTAACCTGGTCCAGGGATCTCACAGCCAGAACTTCCACTCCTTTCCCTGATGCAGAGAACCTATCACGCCTCCTTCTCAGCAATTTGACGGTCATAAGTGTTGTAAACACAAGGACTTTTTCTTCAGAAACACCTTTTCCTTTCTCTGCTTCCATCTCTGTCCATCATTCAGCACCACTGATCACTCTTGCATACCTCAAACAACCCAGGCACATCCTGACAGGCACACATTTCCAATGTGACAGTGCAGGTTCTGAGGGGAGGCCCTCCACACCTGTCCCGACAATCCATACGATAAGGCCGTAAGTCCTGATTCCTGGGTTTTCCTGCCTTCATCCACACTCACTTTCCAGGCACCTGTACACAGTTTTTCACTCCCACCATTTTCGAGCCATGTATACATCCCAAGGAAATCACTTCACTTCTCCAAGTTCCTGTTGCAGCTGTAAAATGGGAATGGTACTTGCTTCATAGGACTGGCATGATGATTAAAGGTTAAATGAGAAGATGAACACGAATGACTAGCTATTACTGTTGGTTTTAGCTGCTGTCGTTAGCTTTCAACTCAGCGTGACCTCATACACAATGGCCAAGTAATGCTGCCTGGCTCTGTGCCATCACAGTAACGAGCTGCAAATAGGACCATGGCCAGCCATGAAAGAGCTAACAGCATTTTTAGTTATCTTTCCTCTTTCTTTTCCTTCCTCAAAAATATTACAAATTTTCTGAAGATACGATCTTTTTTGTACATGCCAGAGAATCCAGAGTGGTGTAACAGACATCATCAAATGTTCTGCCGAATTCTTAAAACAGATGCTGACAGTTTTCCCTGGTCTATTATCTCTTTCTCCAGACCAAGGAATCCCGCTCAGGAGCCCCCTTAATAAAGCTGCTTTAAACTTTCAAAACAACGACAGCAAAAAAAAAAACATGATCCTACCTGATGAGGTACTTATAACAGGCAGATTTAGAGAAAGAAAGTAGAATAGGGGCTAGGAGGTAGGAGAGATACTGTTTAATGGGTAAAGAAAGATTCTCACCACTGGACCAATTGGCAGCATCAGGATGGA